CCCCGCGAGCCTCCGTTCGGTCGGCTCGGTTGCTCACTCGTTGGATATCGAGTTCGGAGCCGAAGGCCAGACGCCCCCCTCCCCGCTCTCCACTCCTCCGTGTGCTCAGCTGGTCGGAGTGGGATGGATCAGAGACGCACAGGTACGTGCCATGTGTTATCTGCTGGCGGTTGACCGAAGACCTTCGAAGCTACTTTACTTCTGCTTTCCTCTGTGTGTGTGTGTACGTTTTATCTCTGAGGTGCTAGAAATGTAAGAACACGAGCGAGAAATCAGAAAATTCACGCCCATGCATTTAACGTTAGTTAAATGATTTCTTAATGGGCTTCTTAAAAATACGTTACATTTAAAAATGAATTTTGACAAATTCACTCCTGCAATTCATCATGTGTGCTTCCTGTTTCTTTTTTCTTTCTTTTGTAAACCTGGTCTTTACTCCATCTTCCGAAGGAAAAATTCGCAATGGGTGAGGTCACAACTCAGTGCTGGTCATTCATAAGGGCTGCAACCAAGTCAGCGCCGTGGAAATGTCTGTCGACTCACGTACGGAAGCGCTTTATGGGGCGAGACTCCTCCTTGCTTACTAGATATTGGGACGCCGAGTTTTCTCACGTAGACATGAATATAATATTGAAGTATAAGAATCTATTGATTTGTTATTTGTTTTGTTTGAGCTACGGACCAACAACTTCCGTGGATGTCATGCTACACCACACAATGGTATTTAATCGATGATGGGTTTTCTCATCAGCCATCGTTGGATCCTCTTCTATCAATAATAATAATAATAATAATAATAATAATAATAATAATAATAATAATAATAATAATAATAGTCTCAATTACAAATCAAAAAATTGTCGTGGTATTACAAACGCATCACCGGAATGCCTGCAAAACTTTTCCGAAACATATTTATGCATAAACATGTTCAAAAATTGGTGGATAGTCCTGGTTGCCTAGTGAACGTTTGACTTTGCATAAAAGTTCTCACATTGCATTTCAAAGAATGGCAAGGATTTTACTTATTGAAATTTAATTAGAGAAAAAGGTACAGCTAATTTTAATTGGGATTTAATTACTACCTACCCGGTAGGTATTATGTATTTCTATAATGTAGATTTTCAACGAGCTGTTGTTTCCGTATTTGCGAAAAATTGAACCCACCGTCCAGCGAATTATTATACAGTTTAATTCCTTTGAGACATACATTATTTATCAACAGAAAGTTTGTGAGATTTTCTGATTTGACATCAAATTATTGACTTCTTCAGCGAATAAGCAAGAAATTCATTACCCGAAACTAGTTCCGAAATTACATTCACGTTTCATAACTTGCGTTATTTTCTTGATTCATTACAAACGTGGTGTGTGAAAAAAATGTTTCAAAGATCACGAAAAACACATCTATACCTGTCAAAAAACATAGCCACGTATGAAAGAGTGCATGCAAATATACATCAAATATTTAATTTTAAAATATGTTGCTTGAAAACATAAAATGATGATCTCTAAAGTTCAGTTTACGATTAAGAAACAATTTTCTATTACGAATAGCTTTACCTTGCAGGTCGTAATTCTAGGCCATGGTTACGGTTTTCCTCAAGTTCTCTCGCTGAATTTTCACATTGCAATTTTCACAATTCTCTCCTTTTGTGCTGAAAGCGAAACTACTGAATTCTGAATGATTATTTGCTTTTTGGAAATGTTTGTTTCTCAGATCTGAAAATGTTCGTGCCTCTTGGTCATTCGTTATAATATATCGGATATTACTTGAAGGTCGTAGCATGCTGCACCTCAAGGTACAGAACACGTTCTTGGAAGCTTCGCAGACGGACGACTTGCAACGAACTTGGAAATTTCGCAGACGGAAAATATTTGCATTTTTATTTGTACTTTTCGGGCACTTCCAGTACATTTTTGGAAATAGGAATCTTAGGAGGGAGAGATCTTCAGATGTGATGAGATATTCTGGAGAATTATATCTTCAACATCCAAAACTTGCAGGTAAGTCTACGATTGTCCTCCCACAAAGCATTTTAATGAAAGCTATCGATCTCTACCTCGACTCATCAGAACGTAAGATTGAAAGTAAATTATTGGTGGAATAGAAAGCAATCTGAGCTCTACATATTTATTTAACACCGAAAAATGTTAAAACATTTGTGACGAACCGTTCGGAGAAGTGTATTCTGTTATCTTGAGTTCTGGAATCCCCACATTGATGTTGATTTGCAATGGCAAATAATTATTTTCCTTTGCAAATAATTCGATTTATTTACGAGAGGCACTCTGAGAGATAATAACCACAATCTGTAGGTAATGATTTTTACTATTATCTCTCAGTGTACTTCTCAAAAGGAATCTACGTACTGCCGCGAAAACTTAGAGAGAGTTTATTTGAATAACTCAATGGGAATGTTTATTCCCATTGAGTTCTAAAATGCGTGCACAGATATATAAACAATTATTCATCAGAAAATATTGTACTTGGCACTTAAACTTGTCTACCGGTTTATAATCGTTTA